AGGTATTTAGTCGCAGCAACGGTAACCGAGAGCCAGAGCACCAATCACCACCCTGAAAAGGCCGCAACCGAGGTGTCCCCGCGGGTGGCTGGTGGTCGCGCCAGCGCTTCTGCGTCTGCGCGCCCGCGGCAAGCCCCGCCCCCTCCGGCTGCGGGCGCGCGGGGGCCGCGCCTCCTCATTGTGGCCGTCACAGTGTGCCATTTCGCGGGAGCGCGCCGCGGGCTCGAGCATGCGCGGAACTGCGGCGGCAGCCCGCGGGGAGCTGGGGCAGCCGTAACGGAGCGGGCTCTCAAGCGCAGACGGCTGCATCCCACGGTGTCCCGTCCGTGTCTGTCGGCGTGACGAGCAGGCGGTGGCCAGGGTGGCGACGGCGACGGAGCGCTTGTGAGCCGGGACCCGGGTCCGAGGCGCGCTCTCCGCCCATAGTAATGAGGCGTCAGACGGCAACAGCATTACGGACTGCAGCCCTCAAGTGCGCACGGCCCCAGAGGGTTTCAGCCCTGACTGGCACAACCGCGGCCAACAGTGACTTGGCGAGTCTTTTTGAGTGTCCGGTGTGCTTTGACTATGTGTTGCCACCCATTCTTCAGTGTCACAGTGGCCATTTTGTTTGTAGCAACTGTCGCCCAAAGCTCACCTGTTGTCCAACATGCAGGGGCCCCTTGGGATTCATTCCCAACTTGGCGATGGAGAAAGTGGCCAATTCAGTCCTTTTCCCTTGTAAATATGCCTCTTGTGGGTGTGGAATAACTCTGCCACACACAGAAAAAGCAGACCACGAAGAGCTCTGTGAGTTTAGGCCTTATTCCTGTCCCTGCCCCGGTGCGCACTGTAAGTGGCAAGGCTCTTTGGATGCTGTCATGCCCCATTTGATGCATGAGCATGAGTCCGTTACCAAGCTACAGGGAGAGGACATAGTTTTCCTGGCTACAGACATTAATCTTCCTGCTGCTGTGTACTGGGTGATGATGCAGTCCTGTTTCGGCGTTCACTTCATGTTAGTCTTGGAGAAACAGGAAAAATATGAAGGTCACCAAAAGTTCTTTGCAATTGTACAGCTGATAGGAACACGCAAACAAGCTGAAAATTTTGCTTATCGACTTGAGCTACATGGTAATAGACGGCGACTGACTTGGGAAGCCACCCCTCCATCTATTCATGAGGGAATTGCAACAGCCATTATCAATCGTGACTGTCTAGTCTTTGACACCAGCATTGCACAGCTTTTTGAAGAAAATGGCAATTTAGGCATCAATGTAACTATTTCCATGTGTTGAAATGCAAATTAAACATTTTCTGGCCAGTGTTTAAAATCATTGTATTCAATTTCACAGAGAATATGTACTCATTTGCCTGCCTACCTTAACTTTTGGGAAGTGGAAATTAGACACATGAAGGTAAATAAAGGGAAAGCCTGTTAAATACAGGATATAGTTGCATGTAGTAACACTAATATATTAAAAATAAGTCAATAGTAAACCATTGAAAACAATATCTACACATGGATACAACCAAGATGGGCATCTTTTGTATTAAGAAAGGAAGCATTGTAAAATAATTCTGGATTTGTGTTTGTTGTAGATTGAGTGTACTCTTGAAAAATAATGGGTTTTTATTTTTTTGTTTTGTTTTGTTCTGTTTTTGAGTGTGTGTGTGTGTGTCTGTGTGTGTGTGTGTGTCTGTGTGTCTGTGTGTGTCTTCATTTTCCTTTAACAAGCCATGTTGTATGGTCTTTGACTACTGCTTTTCACCTTTGCGAGTCAATACATAGTGCTGCTGCTGTGTGTATATTTGTGTGTGTGTGTTTGCTAATTTTCATTCTAGTTTTTCATTAAATAAATTTGACTACTCTGTAAAAAAATAAATAAATAAAACAAAACACCCTGGATAGTTAACAGAACTGTCACAATAAATTGTTCCTTAAGCTTGGCCTCTTGCCAGGAAGGTGTGTAGAAAATGGGGAGAGGTTTCTTTTTACCTTGCACCCTAAGTGGCTTTTCAAAGTACTCACCCAATAAATTAGTATATTCTCACAGTGAAATTCTGTCCTAAGAATGTATGCTTCATTTCTTTTATTATAGTTATGATAAGACTCGTTTTTCCCCTAGAACAGGGGTCAGCAAGCTGTGGTTCGCGAGCCACATGCAGCTCTTTGGGTACATTCCAACTCAAAAGTTTGCCGACCCCTGGAAGAGTCAATCCTGTCCCTCACAACAATTTAAAAATTATTTGAGAGCCATAAATATATTTTTACATAATCACCATTATGTGAATAATATCCTTTAAAATTTTATAAATGAAACAATGATAGTTTTATTTTCATTTTCAATTTCACTTCAGAGCCATGTGCACGTACCCAAAGAGTTGCATGTGGCTTGCAAGCTGCAGTTTGCTGAGCCCTGGCGGCTCTTCCGTCTCAAAAGTTTGCCTACCACTACCCTAGAATATGGGTCTGATAGTAAACATTTTATAGAAATGATCACAAATTATAATTAATGGTACAGTATAAATAATTATATGGAATAAAGCTTTTAAAAGTACATGTTAATGAAACAAGACAATACAAAAGTAATTAAAATATGATTTAATTTAGATACTGGAGCTATTTATGTTTAATGCTTTTCAGGTTTAAATCAGTTTTATGTCCCTGATCCTATTGGAACACTACAATGATGTTATAAATACACAGATCTTATATTTTTACTAAAATCAAAGCTTTAAAATACTGACTTCTGAGGCTATAAAAATGGTGGCCAATTTATTTTGTTTTTTATTTACTCTGGAGTATTACTAGGCATCTTCCCTGTATATTTTTTCTTTATATATCATATGTGATCGTCCCAACCTATCCAATGCCATAAAGCTAACAATAATAGTAATACAAATGTTCAACATTGAGTCCTACTGTGCCATTTATATGAGGTCGGACAATTAGTTAGCAAACTCATCCTAGAAAATGTGCTACATATCTCATTGCTGAATATCACATGGTCACCTTCAAAGTACTCCCCTTGGGATGCTATGCACCGATGCCAGGGCCTAGTCCACTCTTCAAAGCAATTTTGGAACTCTTTTTCTGAAATGGCCATCAGAGCTGTCATCATATTCCCCTTGATTTCCTGAATGTCATCAAAATGTCTTCCTTTCAATATTTCCTTTATTGTCAGGTAAAGAAAGAAGTCATTGGGGGCCAGATCAGGTGAGTATGGAGGGTGTTCCAGTACAGTTATTTGTTTACTGGCTAAAAACTCCCTCACAGACAATGCTGTGTGAGCTTGTGTGTTGTTGTAATGCAAGAGCCATAAATTGTTGGCAAAAAGTTGAGGTCATCTAACTTTATCATGCAGCCTTTTCAGTACTTCCAAATAGTAAACTTGGTTAACTGTTTGTCTAGTTGTTACAAATTCATATTGAATAATCCCTCTGATATTAAAAAAAAGGTTAGTAACATTGTTGCAGCAAGTTCACGAACTTAATTGTCAGACCTCGTAGACATTATTGGAATCCTGAAAACATTACAAGATAGATAATACAGTATATGTATATACATGTGAAGGATTATCTAACTTGCCTCAGACCAGAAAATTAGTAAATACTGAGAATACCATTCAAAGTCAGGGTTTTGTTCTTCTCTAATTTCCTTTATATTGTATGCAGAATCTGGACCCACAGCAGTTCAATTCAGTTTAACAACTAGTTATTGGATGACAATAATGATTACCCTTTGTGTCACCCAGTTCAAAATGAAAATGCAGGGTTTTTTGTTAAATTGTCAAGAATTTCAGGATAGTGACTCAGGGAATCAAACCAAGTACAGGGTCCTTCTAGGCATGAGGCCTTGTGTGACTATACAACAGCCCATGAAGCTGGTCCTGGCTGTTGGCTTATGTGACAGTCAATGTGCAGGCTCTGGAGGTATATATAGGAATAAGAAACCATCCTTGTGCTTGGGGAGCTTCCAGTTGAGGGGTGTTTGGGGGGCCTTCTCTTTTGGTATTACCTACACAGCCAGTATAGTATTCTTTTGAATATCCTCAAGGTTGATACGCCTTTTTGTCTTCTGAGATATTTTGAAATAGCCAAACTTACACTACTACAAGCCTTGTCAGTAACTTGAGAGAATAGCCTGGTTAACTAGTGATGAAGCTTTTGGTTCAAAACAAAATGTGAATCTAAAGTAGGAAGGTTGGATTTCTTATGAGCCTGAGTATTCGTCCAATAAAAAGGCTCCAAAAATATTGGCAACCAGGAAGTGTTCTCAGAGTAGGCAGACTTTATTGAAAGCAGTGCTGATTTGGTCTCTGCTTGGCAGTAATAGAAGTTAAACAACATTATCAGTTTCAACACCCGAGAGTCACACTTTATATATGCTTGGAAGATTGTTACTCTGGTACTTTTCTTTTAAAAAAATGTTCCCCCTTAGCACTATGAATTATGATAATCAAGCTTCACTAGAGACTGATAACATTGCTATCAGACTAGTTCAAGAACAAAGATGAATGCTTGTATCTTGTGAAATGATAAAGTGATGAAGTTGGATAGCATCCTTCAAAGTCACTAATGAGGTTGTGAGGGTCAAATGAGATGTGTTTGGTAATGTGCCTTGTAAAGTGAACTAGTTATATAACCTCCTCTTATTTTACAAATAACAAAACTCATCTTCTGGCCAAATCATCTGTCTTCTGCCTCCCTGTTCCTCAAGGTCAAGTTTTTATTGGCTGGGTCCTGCTGAACAACTGCTGCTGGGGCACTTAGTTATAACCCAGCCGCTACCTTCTCACCACTATAGAAGCAGGCCCCTGTTTATTTTCCAGGTGATGAATTATCCCCTGTCTTATCCCTTGGCTTGCCCACTTTCTTCTCCCGAGTTAGAGGCTGGATGACTTACATTTATAGATTGGGTCAGCTATGAACTAGGTGTGTGCTGGGAAAATGAAATGAAGAATGGACTCAGTTACTCTAAGGTTTATTTTCCCAACCAGGCAAGGGAGGACAGTGCCTTTAAATAGGTAGGGTCATCATCAATAGCTTGGGGAACTGTCAGTTTTAATCAGCCTGTAGCTCAGGGTCTGTCTATAAACGACTACAACTGGTTAACTGTTTGTCTGTTTGTACGACTATTCTCATGCCAGCCAGGGAATCCCCAAATAATCACCCTCATTCTAATTATGAGTTTCTCTTGTTCTCTCTCTCACTCTTGCTCTTTTTGTCTTTATGCAAACACTTTGGTTAAAGTGTTTGTGAACCAAAGGCCATGATCATTCCTTTGTTTACTTTCTGGATTTTGAATGTGTGTGTGTGTGCATGTGCATGTGTGTGTGTGTGTGTGTGTGTGTGTGTGTGTGTGTGTGTATGATATTCATATTATATTATGGAGAAATATGCTGTTGCTTAATCAGTTAAAAGGAAAGAAAAATATATCCACAGCATCTTCCTGTTTCATCATTAATTTTGGGTTTATTCATTACTGTTAAGATATTGGGATTGGAATTACTCAGGTAAAAATGCAGTGTCAGTTGATTCAACCGTGAACAATTTGATAATTTATATTATTTTTTAGATGAAAAAATATGGTTTGCATAAAATCTTACCATCACTTTACAAGCTTCTCCCAAAACAATCTTATATTTGTAAATTTCTCTTCTATAGCTTGAATCAATGCTTTACGTTTTTTAAGAAAATAGGATTTAGTTCAGTACCCTTGGTTTTTAAATTTTTCACCTCTGTTACGAAGGATTCAAATAACACCAATTTGGAAATGTTGGCTTTGAGGATTTTATTTTTGATAGAAAACAACTGGCTGAATGATCTCTTCTTTTTTCCAAATAACCTAATTTCTTAGGCTATCTCAAGAGTTTTATTTCTCTTTGATTTCCCTTACCGGTTTTTATCTAATCTCTCTGGATAATCAAATCTCCATAAGTGTAAAAGGCCTTCTCAGTTGAAGTTGCTGCCATTGAGAGTTTGACAATGTTCTTATCTCACCCCTATGAGCAGCTTCCTCAGCTTAGCCATGCCAAGGATCCGCTGAAATGTGTCTTTTCTTAAGCTCTGTTATGACCCAACACTGAAGTTACATTTTATAATATTTGGGGATATGATGTCTGTGTATATTTAACTTAAACTTGCACATTTCCATAGACTGAGTTAAAAATCTCACTGATAGAATTTTACATTAATCAACCAATCAATAAAAAATATTTACTTAGCTGCTGATAAGACTGGAAACTAAGTCACACGTTAGGAGGCACGTGAGTCATGCTCTTTAGCTCTTAATGCTTCTGAGAAAGGTCTGCACTCTACAATAGTACATGCAACGATAGAGGTTTGAATGCATGCTCCAGAGTTCCAGGGAAAGTGGACTATTGCTACTTTGCATCCCTTGCTATGCAGAAACTGGACCTTGTATCTGTTGCAGAATTGTTGCTGGAGGCACATGGGATGTCCAAAAGAGGACTCAATTGGGTTCTTGTCTCCACACAAGAAAGAATTCAAGAGGAAAACATATACAGCAAAAGTAAAAGTGATTTATTGAAAATGAAAGGACACACTTGAGAGGAAACTGCAGGTGAACTCATAGAATGAGTTGCCCTGAGGAGGTCCCTATCAGGGGTATTGATCCCTGCCAGGGGGAGAACTGGTGACATCCCATTGATGATGTAGTTCATTCATTTTCTCCCCCTGGGCAGGACCCCCATTTCCCACTTTTTCTTCTTATTTGTTTCTTTTGGAACTGTCATGGTGTCAGATGCATGATGGGAGTCCAGTTACCTCAATGTAAATGAGAT